CATTCCAAATCAAAAGTTGGACTATGACCCACACAGGAGGTGAACAATATGAAATAAAATACTTTCAAACACCCTTAAAGGTGAAAGTCAGCACTTTAATCCCAGTTATTGTTTCATTCCAAGTCCATTTGTTGGAGTTGGAAAAGCCAAAACAACAACAAAAAATATGTCACTGTCCCAATACTTACAAGCTGCACTGTACAAAACTTCAAGCCCAGTAATAATCACAGAATTGAATCGGCATCTCTGTGCCAGTGTCTCCAAACAAACAAAATTACACATCGGGAACCAACAAAGCTGGTATTTGGCAGAGATTTCATTTAAAAAGCACTTGTATCCAAGACCAGTGCACAAACACGCAGACACTGTTGTACTGAGAATAAAACCTAGACCAGTTGAACAATTTATGTTAGACTTTTTACTATTTAGGTTCTTGTTTGGGGAAAGCTTAAGGATGACTTCAAATCCTAGTGTCTTCTGGTTACTGTTAAATGTAATGGTGAATATTTAATAGCATGGACACGTGCATTTATTATGAGTAAGGAATCTTAATGGCAACTTGAAGTCCAAGGTGCAGCATGTGTTGTCGACTGCAAGGTGAAACAGTTTCAAGGTGTGTCATAAATAAGTGACGTATAACTTGGCTTTTATAAAACCAAGATCTGAACATCCCTTTACCTTTCTTTTTAATGGACATTATTTATAATTATTATTTATTGAGCAATAAGCTCAAGGATAATTCATGCCTGTGCATCAACCCAAAGAGAATTGGAGCTGTTTGTAAATGCAAGTGGTGTACTCATGATTAGGTGTTTCCATTATTTTGGTCATAAGCAAACAAACATTAAGCCACCAAAGGTGGTTATATATTGCACAGAGATTCTTTTATATTGCAATATCAGAAAAACTCATTTCATTACATCACAAGTGTGACACCCACGGGTCCAAAACTCGACATATCAAGTCATCAAGTTTGAAAGGTGGGCTGGGAATCATTCTAATTCCCCAGTAAGAAAAAGGTTATGTTTGAGGAAGAAAAGTTACAGACAGATTCCGTCAGGACAGAATGGTGATGCTCTACCCTGCACTCCGTACTGCCTGTATCAAAGCTATTATTCTTCAGGAGTGTAGAGGGTGGGCACAACAATAACAGCAACAAGAGAATAATGGAAATGGAGAAATTCGCAGACGTGGAAGAGTAATGAAAGACCAGAATGCTTATTGAGACAGCAGTGCACAAGAAAGGCCAAAGGAAAACACACCCACCTGTTTTCAATCTCTCTCACGTTCTCTCTCTCTCCATGCAGAATCTCTCTCTCTCACTCACTCACTCACTCACTCACTCACTCACTCACTCACTCACGCACGCACGCACGCACGCACACACGCGAACACACGCGCACACACACACAATGGGTTCTAAGAAGCAATCTTCAAGAACATGGAGAATGGGAAAGCTTCATTCTAGGCCTCCTGACAGTGCATAGCCACTAGCTTGATGAAATGGCAGAGAGTCAGTGAGCTCTGAAGGCCATTAGATATTTTAGGTGATGGCCTGCACTCCCCTGTCCCCCTGACGTTGTGCTTTTCTCCACTATAGTGGGGATCAGGCAGAGGACATGAATGCCATTAGGCGTCGCAGTCAGCCAGCCAGGCAGCGAGGCAGGCGGACACAGGCTGATAAGCGTATGTTCGTTTTATAAGCCACGGCTGGCTCAAATGGGCTGCAGAGAAAATTAAGATTTTGAGTATTTTTCGGACTCGCCCTTGCGCTTCCTCTGCCTCATTCACTCTGTTTTTCTGTTGTTTTTTTTCTCCATCTCTCAATTCACAGCCACAGTGTTTCTCACAAGGTCAGGTGTGGAGTCTATCCTGGCTCTCACTGCTCTACACCTCCCGCTCTTCTCCCCTCATCTGCCTCTCCTCGCTCTGTTTCTCTCTACCTGTACCACCCCCCACCTCTCCATTTTTAGTTTCTCCCACTGCATCTCTCTTGGTCTCTTTTTCACTTGCTCTCACACTCCTCTTACTTCTCCCTTCTAAATATCTCCCTCTTTTGTCCCTCAGCTGTCTCCTATTAACCTTGTTTATAGCTCATACCGTCTCCCCTTCGAGATCCTCCTCCTCTCTCCTCTTCTCTCACCACTTTCTCTTTTCGCTCCCTCTTTCATTCTCTATTGCTGGCATCGCTTTCTCTTCGCACACTTTCATCCCCACTTTCCTTTACACTCCCCCCAACCACCCTCCTCTGCTCTCATCCTCCATCACTTTGGCATTCCCAGGCTGTCTCTCGTCTCCTCCTTTCATCCTTCCATCCTCCTAACACACTTCCTCTCCTCCGTCCTTCCTGATTCATTTTCGTCTTCACAGCCGAATGGTGGGAAATATGGAAATGTCAGCGTGACCAGGCAGGGGATCAGAGACTACTGTGTTCATATGGCAGGGCTGTCGCAGCGCCATCAGCATTGTGTGTGTGTGTGTGTGTGTGTGTGTGTGTGTGTGTGTGTGTGTGTGTGTGTGTGTGTGTGTGTGTGTGTGTGTGTGTGTGTGTGTGTGTGTGTGTGTGTGTGTGTGTGTGTGTGTGTGTGTGTGTACATCATGTGGGTGTTAAAGACATAATGATAGGTGACAGTGCTTATGATGGTGACATCTGACTACTTGGAGAATGTTGAAAAGGGCAGATTGTGTGTGCATGCATTTGTTTGTTCATGTGCGTTTGGTTTGGTGGCTTTTCTTTTGTCACCTGCAGGCAGCGGAGCTACTGTAAAGTGGAGCAGCGGTGACACAAGGCTTCTGTTCTCACTCTCCTCCCCTCCAACCCTCTCTTTCTCTCCCTCTGTCTCTCTCCCTCTCTGTCGCTCCTCCTTTCTTCTCAGTCTTACCCTTGAACTGTCTTTTATTCTCTAATTCCCTTAGTTCCTGTCTCCCTCCGCCTCCTGTCTCTCTCTCTTCTGTTTAATATGACCAATGCTCTCTAAATATTTATACTGACAATTACTATTTCAAATGCCGCCTTGCCTCAGGATTTTCAAATGTCTGTTGTGTCTATGTCCATGCATACACATGCACACTCTGACTACTTCTTCTCTGTGTCTGCTCTTCTAATGACATCGAGTCTCTCAGTCTTCAGAGCTGGGATTTGGGGACTAGCATTGAAGATGAGTGCGTGCAAGTCTCTGTATGTCTTGTGTGTAATATTCATTTCCCTGGGGCTGTATAGAGTCTCATAAGGCCAGCCTGTCTCTCATCTGAGCTCTGACAGGAGTTGACCTGTGTTGGCTCTCTTCTTATTGCCTCCGAATGACAGACAACAGGTCCAACTCGGCTCTGCCCCCACATTATGCATGGAAACAACAGCTGTGCATGTGTGCATGTGTTTGTGTGTGAGTTTGCACATGTGCACACAAGTGAAACCTGAGGCAGAGTAACTTCCCTTCGGTGTCGTATTGCGTTATGACCTCTGACATGTCAAGCTGACTTGGTCCATACACTCCAATCAAGACTAGTAATCAAGGGTTTCAATAACACCGCATCCCCTTTTCTCTTGTTCTGCTACATCGTTTACTAACCTAGTCAGACTAGTTCAGGTATATTGACAAAGGGTTGTAGCTTCCTAGCTTGATCTTCACTAAATGCTGTAGACGTTTGATCACAGGCCATGAGCTCGACAATAAAACTGTCATGAGGTGTATGTTTGTATGAATGTGTGCATGCGGATGCTTTTGTGTTTCCTCTTGCATAGATATGCTTGTGTATGTATGTCCAAGGCAGAAAAGAAAAGCCTTATTGGGCTTTCAAACCCAATAAGGCTCTCTGCTGCTCCCACGGGCTGCTTAGTGGTTGTCCAGAGGTTCCTCTGTGGCTACAAGGGGGTTGTTTTGTGGTAGTAAATTGGGCTGGTCCTGGGAGAGCTAGTGTTATTCTAGGAAAGGCTTGTTTTCCTCCACTTTCCCAGTCAGTCTATCGCTCCTTCCTCTTTCTTCTCTTCCTCTGTATTGATATCTCAGATCTCCCTAGAGAAGACAAGGTGTGGTGTTTATTGCTCGTCAAAAGAGAAAGACGGCACTGCCCTTTCCTCTTATCTCCAAGCTCATTGGTTTCGTGTGTGTGTGTGTGTGTGTGTGTGTGTGTGTGTGGGTGGGTGTGTGTGTGTGTGTGTGTGTGTGTGTGTGTCTGTGTCTGAACCCTCCAGATCATATTAGTTTCAACACAATAGCTTTGGCTCAGCACAAACTGGTGAAACTAGTTCTGCAAGTAATTGTCTTTAGGGGAAATTGTGTTTCGTGGGTGCTGTTTTGTAGCTTACTGGTAAACACACTGTGAGCACACACGCATTTGAAAACGTAGCCCTGGCTGCAGACATTTGAAGTTATGTATCCGCAGGTAATCCACTCTTACTTAAAACAGGTGCCATCTTGCTGACATACACTAATGCGCGCTTACTCATACAAGTAATTACATTTTCACAGAGACCTGGATTACACACACACACACACACACAAACACACACTCACAAAAAGAAAAAATACACGGACAGATTGTCGTTCTAAAGCTCCCTCGCTCTTACTGTTTCTTACACGCCCACTGACACAACGCACCAAGAAAAGCATATTTATTTTGACTCTTTGCTGTTACACAGGAATGTGTCGGCACAGCAAATGGCAGGCTATAGAAAAGCATAACCCATCCAGATGATTTATGACCTATGTGCAAAAGAGAACTGGCTTTCCACTTCTTTTTTTCAGCACAGATCCCCTTTTTTTTTCAGCCTCTCCGTCCACACACGCACAGTCATAGAGAGATACCAGACTCTTGGCCTACTTGCCTGGGTTCACTAATGCTGTCCTCTGTTGTACCAGACACTTCCACACTGTCCTCATTTATCATCAGGAGGCTTTGTACCAACAAGATTCCTCTGCTCCCTTTCCTCATCCCCTATCCTAGTTTGTAAAGGAAGGAAACAGCTGACATTAATGTTTCTCTTTCTCTGTTTCTCCCAGGAGCGTCGGGTCAGCGGGTGAAGGTGGAGCCAGAGGTGTCATCATATCCTGGCCAGACAGTCAACCTGCGCTGTGCCTTCACTGATGCCACTGGGATTCAGCTTACAATGGTCAGTTATACATGATGCAATTGTTTTCTGTTTTTTTTTTTTTTTTTTTCAGATAGGATTTGATTACTTCTTTATACCAGCACACTGATATTGACTCTAAACTGGGTTTGCAGTATGAAATTCTAATAAAAATGTTTCATCCTGAAATTGCAGCTCATTTTGCTGACTTGACACAGTACAATTTGGTGAAATTGCTTGGGACTACAATTTGCTTTCACAATTGAAGCGAACAGATGTTGGACATTAAGTGAATACACAATTTAATATTTGATTAAACACGTGGCTATTTTCCTGTAAAATAAAGTATTTGTCAATTATGTATCAGGCTGATTCTGCAGGTGTGTGAGAGTCAGTCGCACAGGTGGAGAAGAGCAATTCATTGCAATCAAAATAAACATAAAATGATGATACAGGTCCATGTGCCTTGTTTATCTAGCACATTAAACCTTAATCTAACAAATCATAGCCCACAGAAATAATCCTAAGGCTAGTAATAGGTTTTTATCACATTTAGGCTTAATGTTTTATTACTCCAAACAAACAATACTAAGCTTCATTTTGCTTTAGGGGATTGAATATGGTAATGGAAACTTCTTAGTCGCATCTCAATGAAGTGGGACGTGCACAACTCTGCTTGGTTCCGCTAAGAGCAGCTGAGAGAGAGAGAGAGAGAGAGTACTTCTCCTGAAAAACTCCACATCCATATTCATAGCTGCTCCACTTATTTGATTGTGATTCTGTGTACGCTGCCTCGTGGAGTTTACAGCAAAGTGTCTTTTAAAAAAGGCTCTCTAGTGTCACTTATCAATGCTATGATAAATGAAGCCTGTTGTTTTTCTCAGTCACTGCACGCATCCTAACCAGTGACCCTCTGCTTTCTCCTCCACCACAGGTCACATGGATCTACGAGCCGAAGGAAGGCGATAGGATTAACATCGCTGTGCTTCACCCCAGCTTTCAACCCAACTACCCCGACTCACCCTTGAAGGGCAGAGTCAGCTTCACAGCCAGTCCCCCAGACCTGACCACTCCCTCCATCCAGATAAGAGATGTTAGGATGACCGATGAGGGGAAGTACATCTGCGAGTATGCTACATACCCCAGTGGTAACGAGCAAGGCATCACATACCTGGTCATGCTGGGTAGGTCAATATCATAATCTATATAATGTGTATATGTAGACAGGTGACAAAATACAGGGGGAAAAATTTTCAATGATACACCATGGCCTTTGCAGTCACCTAATCTGAGTTTAAATGGGATACTTTGGAAACTGCAGCTACTTAATCAGAATCAGAATCAGAACAGTCCCTCTGTTCTCTTTTGGAAAAAGAAATAACCGTTGAAGAATGTTTAGTTTATTTTACATTACAACATGGAGGATATTAAATCACACAACTACAAAAATTTCAACCGTGACAAGATCTATTGTATTTCCATTCTGGTCCTTGATGTAGTACTGATCCACAGATAACTAAGCCTCAGTCCTTAATAAAATCATTCCATGTCAAACATCCAAAACATAAAATATTGAAAGTTACTAACAAATTAAAACTAAAACTAAAGCTTACTCCTTCAAGTTTCCCATGAGCCACAATTTGATCTACTTCTTGAAAACTGTGGTAGCTACTTATTTTTTAATGTGCCAAGTAACTTATTCCAATTTCTGGCAACCACAAAACTTAAACAAGAAATACCCATGTTGGTATTAAATGTCTGCAATACTACTGTAGCTCTAGCCGGGTGCGCATAAATTCCCTCAGCCCTACAAAAGCTTAGAGCTACACAGGAGCTCTGTTATAAATATTATGCACCACACTGGGTCGTGGTTTTACGACTGTCTGTCAAGGGTAACACCCAAGCGGTTGGAATTGTTGTTTACTAACTTGTGCTGTTGGGTCCAAACCATCACAGGTGTCTGCCTCCCAAGGACTTGCAGCATTGTTAAATGCTCTCTGTTAAATTTATTTTTATTACAATAGGAAAAGTACCACTTTTTATCCCCATAATTGGCTGTTTCACAGACAAAGGAACCAAACCCAACACAACCCTGACTAATCTGTTCTGAATGATCTGTAGTGTGTTGTGAGGGTTTTCCCAGAATTTCCTACCATGAATGGAATGAGTAATCAAAGCAATGTATGACTAGAGAACTGGTCGACTCGTTTTCTGTGTTCTGTGTTATTTGTCTCTCTGTAGTTTCTAGAGACTTGTTCAATCTCTGCCAGGGTGCGTGTATAGACGGTCTTTGTTAGTTTTTCCTTAAATTTGTCACCCATCTGTCTGTAGTGAGCACTTGCACATTTACCTTACTTACAATATATACAGCACATACGTGTGTGTGTGTATATATATATATATAATATAATTTATATATATATATATATATATATATATATATATATATATATATATACATGCAAAGTACTCTCCACCTACCTCTCTGTCTGTCTTTCTTGCTGGCTCCATCCCCCAAAGGTAACATGCAGGTTAAAAGCATGTCCAGCTAGGCTTAATTGCTATTATAAGTGGTATTGTCAGATCAATTGTGTTCTTGTTAATGCAATGGAACCATTGGTCTAACCTTGGCCCGGCACCAGTGCCTCTGCTCCACTCTCTTCTCCCTCCAACGCATCATGTGTCCCTGCCTCCCTTCGGGCACTATATTGATCCGGCTGCTTGTCATGCCTGCTGTCAGCTTCTGTACTGCCGGCTCTCCTCTGATCCCACTCTAGCATCAGACAGGGCAATTGAGGAGGTATGAGGGGTGAGGCAGAGTAGAGGGAGTGGGGGAATGACAGAGATCATGTAGTGATTTAAAATTTGCGTATGGAAATGTACTAGACCAGTCAGGGAAATTGTTTATCAATGGTGGGGATAGAGAGGAAATAGATTAAAGAAATGGAGGGAGAGTGAAAGAAGATTTAGGGTTTGGGTGTGTTTGCACTGGTGCTTGTAATTGTTTATCAATGTAAGCTCTAGAGAGAAAGAAGACAGGAGCGAGAGAGAGAGGGTGAATGGGGTGGCAGAGGATGTTTGGAGATTGAGGTTTTGGATTTGCTTTTGCCATGCTGGTGACTCAAATTGTTTATCGATAATGGTGCACATTATCTTTTCCCTCAGCTGTCTTATTTCCATTTTATCTATTTCTGCATCCTTTAATCTTCTCTCTGCCACTCTGTGTCTCTTCCTCTCTCCACCCTCCATCCCCACATCAATCCATCCATCCCCACATCAATCCATCCATCCATCAGCTAAGCCTCAGAACTCCGCTTCCATTGTAACGGTGGAAGTGGGCACAAAGCCCGTCGTCGTGGCAAAGTGCGAGTCTGTGGATGGCCGCCCTGCTGCTCAGATCTCCTGGGTGACCACAGCCAATGGCAACGCGACAACAGCATCTAAGACAGGTGCTGACAACACCGTGACCGTGACCAGCGAATACCGCATGGTTCCCACAGCAGCAGACAACGGGAAAGACATCAGCTGTGTGGTGACACACAGGACCCAGGTCAAACCAGAGAGCTTCCCGTTGAAGCTAGCAGTTCAGTGTAAGACATCACACACACACACACACACACACACACACACACACACACACACACACACACACACACACACACACACACACACACAGACAGACCACTTATTATTCCATGTGAATTCCTTTGCTGTTCACACTCTAACATGATTGGGGTGATTAATTGAGCTCATTGCTATTTTTTTCTCCTCCTTTCTGCCATTCATCTTTCCCTCCCACAGATGCCCCTCAGGTGACAATAGTAGGTTATGACAATAATTGGTACTTGGGTCGTACAAATGTGATTCTCACCTGCCAGGCTACCGGAAACCCTGTTCCACTCTCCGTCCAGTGGAAGACGTGAGTATCAGCATATCCAGCTTTTTTCTTTTTTTTTGTCTTATCTCTTGTTCTCTCTCCTTCTCAACGCCTCTTGTTTCTCTTATCGCTCTTTCTCTTTTTTTCCCATCCTTACCCTTAAGTCTGAGGTCTACATAGCTGTAATCAGCGCTTTTATTATTGCCACGACAGTCCTGTGCTCTGATTATGGAGATAGCCGTATAATTTCTCATAATGGACTCTGGGACTCGAGATTTAACCCTCACATAATGAGAAACACAATATGACTCCCTCACTCCCTTTTTCCATATTATCAGCTATTAACATAACTGTGACAAAATTTGAAGAAAAAAAAAAACTTCTGGAACTTTAAAATGGGAGAGATGAGATTTTGGGCCTGGATCCAGCAGTTTTGATTTTCCTCCTGTCCCCATCATATTTTCCTCCACTGTGTGATAATGGATTGCCTTTTGAGGAAGGGGGAAACTGATTGGTTTTGCACTGCCCATCAAGATTAGTGGAATTTGATGACATTGCACAATACAGCACATTTCTGTAAATGCACATCTGTCTCAGCACTCTCATTGTGCCCAAAGTCAAACAAACCGCAATTCTCTTCTTTTTCTTCATTTCTTTTTGGCCTCCTCGTTTTTCTTCTTTCTCATACCAATATGCTCATATTCCTGCAGTATGTCAGGAGAGATGCCAGACACAGTGCTCATCACAGGCAAGGAGCTAAAGGTCCTGAAGGTGGATGACTCAGTCAACACCACTTTTGTCTGTGAGGTAAAGAACCGCATTGGGATCGGCAGGGACCAAGTCACAGTCCTGGTTAGAGGTGAGTTGAAGGACACAAACAAGCATACACCTCAATGCACGCACACACAAAAAGTATGAACACACAACATGTGCACAAATGTTCCTCAAGATGTAGGTCAGATGACATTTAAAAACATACTTTAACCTGCTTGGAGAGCAACGTTCATTTTGTTCTCTTCTTTGTGAAATGATAAATTGCCAATTGGCATTAGAATTGTTCACAAATCCACCCATCTGCTGCTCTAAGTAGGTTAAAACCGAAACCAACTTGTGTAAAGTGTAATATGCACAAGTTCAAAATGTCCTAAAACAGATAAATTGTGCACCTTAAATACGTCAGTAAAGCAATGAACATTTCAGAAGTGAAATGAAGAAAAACACATTTGTGGCTCGCTTGGGTCTCGTTCATCATCTAAACCTTTCCCTGGCTTAAATATGAAAACATTTATATCCTCTGAACTGATGAACTGGAACCAACTGCACTTTCATCACACATGCTACACATTTTCTGGTGTACTATGCTCTCATGTCTTCCCCAGGGATACACCTTGTTCCGCCTCACATGTCTCATGAACACACACATACACACACATTCTCTGTGCTGAGGATTGTCTTGGGTGTGTAGTGCAGGGCTAGAGGTTCCAGCTGCTCTGTCCGCATTGTATGTATGCGTGTGACTGCTTTAGACAGTGGGTGCGTATGTTCAGGCATTTGCATGCCTTTGAGTTAAACTTTTCATGCTTTCCTTTCTGTGACCTATTAAGAATGCATGTCACTTCTTCTATTTCCCTTTGCATGCGCTCAATAACACTGTATTATGAAAGTGTCCATGCCTCCGCTGTACCCAAGGTCTGTCTATCTGCTTTGTACATCACGCGGCACTACAAAGCTGCTTTTCACAAGGTTTTTAGTTGTAGTTCACGTTGTGCATGGTGCACATAGACAAGATGGTCCTTCTCGCTGATATTTTTTCCCTTTTCTTTTATTTTCCTAAAATGAGAGAGCAGTCCGCCCCCCTAAAGTCATGATCACAAAAGCTTCTCAGCAGTACCCTTGGCCATCAGTAATGACAGGAGAGACTAAAGCAAAGCAAATGAGCAGTGTTCATTAGAGTCAGTGTCTTGAAGATAAGGCTGCAATCACTAAAAGTGATATATTTGACTCACAGCGACACTGTTGACTTTGAATTGAAGTGGATTTCAGTGTTGCCATGGGTATAGCTGAGGCTAGACTTGCACTGATAAACTGTGTGCTTGCTTGCTGGTTCATATTGCCAGTTCATATACACATCTGTCTGTGTGCTATATAGCTTGTTATACTGACTAAAATCAAAGAATCTTAAAATATCCAGAATGGTACCAGTTATGATGTAAAAGCGTCCATCCTTCCTTTCCCGTCTGTTCCTCCAATAGTTTTAGCTGCACCCCTTAACAGAGTACACTCCTGCATTTTACCTCATACAAAATACATCCCCCTTCACTCTTCTGCTGTATGCCTGCACTTTACCGGAAGTTTTTCCTGCTGACATGGGGGTAAACCTTGCCCGTAATGGGGGAAAAAAGTGCATTTCTCTAGTGACTACATTTTAAGACCAACCCAGCTACTTCATGCCCTCATTTCTTTCTTTTTCTTGCTCAGTCTCCCTACTTGTTTCATTCTTTTTTTTTCTCTTTCTTTCTCGCTCACCCCCCATCTTTCTTGAAGTCCCATGGCTCCTTATGGTGCCACAGCATGCGTCACCACTCCTCTGGGGCCATTCTGTACTGCTGCATAGTAGTGTAACTGCCTTCTGTAGCACAAAGGATGTCACCATCTCCTGCTGTGTATTACAAGCAACAAGCAAGGAAGATACAAAGATCCAGGGAGCAGAGGGAGGAAGATGGAGGCTGCTTTTAGACTAAAAAGCCAGAAAACGTGCACCAGGATAAATCAGTGCCAGCATGCAATCCTCACACTAAGAGAGGGAGAGAGCAAAGCCATGAGGGACGGAGGGAGAGATGCTGACGGCATTTAAAACTCCCATGGGAATCTTGTGCCACTGCATCCTATCTCCACTGCTATTGGCCTCCACTATCTCTCAGCATAGCGTGTGTGTCTGCCTGTTTCCAAGCCTCTCAGAGCGGATCAGTCACCCTTTGCTGCTTCAGCTCCTGGCTGCTTCTCTCCTCATTCCACCATCCGTTCCTTTCTCGCTCTGTCTTTTATCCTACATTTCCACTCCCATTCTTCATCCCACTTTCTCCTCTTTTTTTTTCTCCCCCCTTCTTCCTCTCGCCTTCATTTTTCTTTCGGGTCTCTCTGGTCTCTTCCAGTGTTAAAACTCCCACAGTTTCCTTGTCCTGTCATCTCCCCCCTCTATCTCGTCTTGTTCTCTCACGGGCCGACCACCTCCTCCCTCCTTCCCACTCCTCTCTTACTCACTGGCAGAAGAGGTGGAGGAGGATAAGATGTGAGCTAAATTTGCCGGCAGTTAAGAGGTGACTGAGGCAACCAGCAAGTATAAAAATGAAGGAGGTTTTTTGTCGAAGGCAGAGAGATGGCAAGAAGTGTTCAGAGTCAGTATTGTTTGAAGTGAAATGAAAGAGTTGATGATGGTTGAAACGGAGCAATAGCAATATGTGGAGGGACTCCAGATGGGGATGCAATGCAGACCTGTGGAGGCTAATGTGAATGCATGTAGACAAACAGGGCTAAGAGGGGCCGACAGGCGTGAAATGGCCAGCACCTGCTACATAGCAGGTCCCCCACTCCTCTCTACCCCACAGCTGCATGACACACACACAAATCTACACACTAGTCTGTGTGGGTGTTTGCCTGTGTCCTCTGCCCTGAGTCTTGTCCTGTGCTCCTGGAGGCAGCGAGAGGGATGGATGTCCTCTCTTCTCCTTGCCTCTCCTCCTCTCATCTTCGATCCTGCTGCTTAGTCACACACGCAAACGTATCCTACCCTGCTCTCCCCTCCTCTTTTCTTTCGATTTATCTCTCCCTCGCTATCTCTTTCGCTGCAGTTTGCTCTTTTCATTGCATCTCTCATCCTCTCAGTTAGCATATGCTCTCTCCTCATCCTCCTTATCTCTCTCAGGTTGTCTTTCAGCCTCCGCAAGTCTGGCGCTGATCTCCCTGCTCAGAGAGGAGACTCCTGCCCCCAGCATTCTCTCTCTCTCCTACTCATACCCTTGCTATCTCCCTCTCTCTTAAAAGCTTAACTCTTAAATACCAGTAGCTCTTCCTTAATCACAGCTTAGTAGTCTCCATCCTTCCATCCATCCCTCCATTCCAGTCTCCTCTCTCGGGGGTTCTTGTGTAGCTAACCCAGATTCCCTGCATCTTTCGTCTTGTTTTTTTCCCCCCTTCGTTCCTTACAGGGGTGGCTCAGCTGAACCTCAAAAAGTTAAATGTCCCCAAGTGAATCTCCCACATTGTCCGAGGGGCTCTTCAGTTCAACGGAAAAGAGATTTTCTCTCAATTCGGTGCATTCTTCCCATTTTCAGACTCATCTGAGGAGACAGTTCAAGGGCAAGGGGCTTGGCCATTTTCCTCCATTGGGTTTGGGTGTGTGTGAGTGTGTCTGCCTGTATCTGTCTGCGTCTGTCAGTGTGTGTCTCCGGCCATGCGAAAAACAGCCAGAGAACAGGTCTGATGGAGCCAAGTCTCCCTGCAGCCTGCAACTGGGCCCCCTGCCCACCCCTCATTAGCACACGCGCACACACACACTCGTGCATGCACGTACACACAAAGCTCTGTTCAATAAGTTAACATGCTGACAGAGAATACTACTAAGCTATGCTCTAGGTGCAGCCCAGCCCGGCCCAGAATCAGATCACTGATGACCGTGTGTGTGTGTGTGTGTGTGTGTGTGTGTGTGTGTGTGTGTGTGTGTGTGTGTGTGTGTGTGTGTGTGTGTGTGTGTGTGTGTGTGTGTGTGTGTGTGTGTGTGTGTGTGTGTGTGTGTGTGTGTGTGTGTGTGTGTGTGTGTGTGTGTGTGTGTGTGTGTGAGTGAGTGACCATGCATGTTTTTGGGAGGCTGCAGTAGACGTTACTTCTGCTCCATCTCCCTCATTATTTGCGGTCACTTGGAGCTTACCGTCGTGCTGGACGTGACTTCATAAGAAGCATGCTGTTTTTTGGCTTCCACAGTATGGTGTGGGATTTGTGTTTTGTGGGGTGGGGGTGCAGTACTGTAGTATATGTATGTTTGTTTTCTATTTTTTTGTATATCCCCTTGTTATCCACACAGCATGCATATTGTAATTTTTATGCTGGTTCATCCAACAGCATGTGTTTATAAGATGTCCTCTCCTCACCCACTTACATAGATTCCACTGGTGCTTTGTTAGGATGTGTCTTGGTCTGTTGTGGTTCTGTTCTGGGAGCCTGGGGTGGCTCCTTTACATCTATCTCTTGAATCTTTCAAGTGTTGTCTCCAGAAGGCTAGAATAAAACATGAATTATCATCCACAAAAGGATTTACCAGCATAGACTTTGAGACACTTGTGAACTGACTTGAGCGACGCATTAAAAATAATTGGATGAGTGGAATTTAGGGAGAATTTGCATTTAAATTTTAGTGTAATTCCCTTTGATGTGACAGCAATGTGAGGCAGCATCCAGCCCCGAGTTTGCACAGAGATTGTCGCCACGTTGCATGTGCTGAAGCTCCACAGAGCCCGAGGTGATAATGCATTTCTTGTGTTCCTGTTACAAGTGGACACTGAGGGCTAGCTCTCACTCTCATGTGTGTGAACAGCAATGTTTAGCACTGCTCGGGGGAGAATATGAGGGGAAGAGACTGTGTGTGTTTGGAGAGGCTAGTGGGAGAGAAATTGAAAGAAAGGAAGAGAAAATATACCCACAAGAAATTATGATTTTTTTCCCCTAGGCATATGTTGAAAGTGAAGCACAGAGGAGGAGGGCAAAAAGAAAAGTAACACATGACGGAAATACAAACGTAAATTGGAGAGATGGCAGAAAAAATGGATTTAGACGAAACTGAAAAGAGTGTATGCAAGAGACAGCTGGTGAAGTGGTGGCAGAGATGGAGAAAGGGGTAGTGGAGGGGAGGCAGAAATAAAGGGAAAGAAGAGCACAGGTGTAGACAGCAGTAGACTTCCATTTTCTCTCTTGACAAGCATCAGTGTTACAAGAGTAATTCTGTCAGCTCTCTGTACACTTAACAAGAGGGGCTGGCTCCTGTTGGATTTCAAATGGGAATGACAATAAGAACCGGGCTGATTCGCTACTTTCAAATTTAGGCAGGGATTTCAACAGCAGCGTCTACTGGTTAATCCTCTGCAGCAGCCGGTGAAAGTGCAGAGAGTGGAAAGGAAAGCTAGAGCAACGGAGAGGATGTTCAGCTTAACTAAGGATTCTTGATCACTTTCAACAAGGGGCTAAAATTAAAAATTCATTTGCTTAATGCGTCTTGTTTGGTTTTATTGTTGTAGCTCATGTGCTCAAACCTGAAGGAAGCAGGAACACTGATAGATAATGAACAGCCTTTATTCCATAAGATGTGCCTTCTTAACATGAAAGCATTTTGTTTATTGCTTCTGAAGCATCCAGATGTACAGAAATTATCTAAATGGAATGAATAAGTACATTAAATAAGAATAAAAAAAATACATGCAATCATACAAAATACATCATAAGCCCAATTCTTGAATGCTTTAATACTGTATAAATTCAGGCATTAATTGTCCCTTTCTCTAAAAGTAGGCTTATTTTTCTAAGCTCTGAAGAAAACGGCTTGTGGAATAAAGTATATAGTACATCCATCACAACAAAGTGCTCTTCCTTCCTATAGAAGTTATTATATTTGATATGTACATTTCCTTGTAAAATAATCTGTCTGTCAAAGAGCTTCATAGTACAGTGAATGCAAACAGCGTGGGTGAATTTCACCCTTAACTCCGGCAGTGTTAGTGGCAGACTCCCTGCCGACTGAGTTATAGATGATGACCACATGGGGAAAACGGTCACAGGGACTGTGGGAAGTTGTCATACTCCCAGAAAGCACTTAGAGCCCTGAACTCATGGCCCCGAAAAGCCTATGCAAAGCAATAACACTGTCAATGTTCTCCTAGAGGCTTTACTCACTAGTAGTGTCTTAACAAGTCCGGGTATTAAACCTCAATATTTTTTGAGCACAGACTGAAATGTGTCCATGGCACCAAGTACTGAAAGCTGGCATTTTAGGCTGTATTTTATTTAGGCAAACTTCTGTATGGCTGCAAATGTAACATTCATTTGAATAGGCTAATTTTGATAAATAGAAGAAAAAGGCTCTTTTTTTCATGTTTATATTCCTCAAAGTAAGGAATCAAGAACAGTATTGTTTTGGTATTAGTGACACTGGTACAGAAACTTTATGTACATTACTGCCTCTGTAAATTTCAAACAATACCCAGCCTTAATCTTAACCGGTGGTTTCCTTCTCTACAAAAGCAGTTCTATCTGTTGCTGTTGAAATACCTGCTTTAAAATATTGTACTAATATCACTGCAGAGGGATGTCGAGGGAGTGGGAAGTGCGAGTTCAGAGAACGAGGACTGTATGGCTGACGAGTCATATGGGACGTCTTCACAACCCTGATTTAGACACCACTACTTTTCTCTGGGGTTTTAATACACAAACAGAAGTACTGTGTATTGGATGCCGGAGCCCTAGTTTTTACTTATACCCTCCTTAGCCAGTCTGCACTCTAAGAAAATCTTTGTTTAATTTAAAATCCACTTAAAATGGCTTCTACTCGTGTGTGTAACATGGCAGTCGTGACTAAATTCGTAGTGATGGAGTTAAAATGGACACTTGTGTAGGACCGACATGCACTCAAACAGTGCCTGTGGTTTACAGAAGCGGAGAGGGTTGCCAATCTGTCCCCCTGCTCCACGTTCATGGCTTCCAGGAAGAGTTGTCATTCCGCTGTCTCACTTTGTCACTCACTCACTCTGCTGCCCGTTCCTCCTCCTCCTCCTCCTCCTCCTCCTCCTCTTCATCTTATTTCCACCCTCCACTCCTCCATCCATCAAGATCCTCCTCCTCTGCATGGCCTCCACCTGTTCTACCACACACACATGCCATTCCCTGCTCCTTCAGAAAGTGTGTGTATGTGGCTTGCGATTAACCCCCCCCGTACCTAGCCTTGTGATTTGTGGTAGGCCTTGGACAGACCCTGGCCATTGAAGGGCAACACAGGGGGAAATGTGGCTGCGACGTTGTTGTGACGCGGCTGTGGGAATGGGGACAGGAGCAGCTCTGAGGGAGAGGAGGAAATGTCAGTGTAGGAAGAGGCTCAGCACACACACAGACACACACTTGACTGTACTGACACCTCAGCACTCTTACACACTTCACTGAGTACAGTTCAGACCAGCACCACTGACATCATCCAACTCCTACCTTTTTTTTCTGTGTTCCTCTCTCCCTTTTCCTTTTCTTTTTCCCTGATCTTTACCCTCTCTTTCTTCTGCTTTTTGTGCTGTCCCTATTTTCACCATCACCCTCTCTTCATGTTTCACACTGTTCTCTTTTTTCCCCTTTCTCAACCATATTCCTTTCTTCCTTTTTCTCCCTCCCTGCCTCTTCTCCCTCCTGCAGAGCCCTCAGTGAACCCATCCAATGCCGGCGTGGTGGCGGGAGCTGTGATTGGCTCCCTGCTGGCCCTCCTTTTGGTCGCTGCTCTCATCGCCGTGCTTGTCACCCGTAGCCGCAGGCAACAGCAGGGTTACCGTGCCAATGGCGGCAGTGACATGAAGACACGCATATTTGGCGGTGGCAAGAAGGCCAGCAAGAACGGCACAGGTGGAGGCACAGGCAGCGGCGGCGTAGGGGGCGGTAACAACAATGGCCCAATCTACGTTTACAATGAGAGCTCATCCCACCAGGGCCTTGGAGAGAAAAACAACCACCACCAGCCGCTCACCATGGGGGGCCGGCCTGAAGTTGTCGCCACTACACCCACTGCCCAAGATATCCTGCTAAGCAATGAATTAGATGATGCGGAAAGGAGGAAGTTTGATGAGCTGGAGGAGGAGGAGCGGTATGACCACTTCACTGGAGGGGCCCCCATCCTTCAGCTTCGCCCACCGCATGACCAGGATGATATTATTGGCGATTACTTGGATGATGACATGGAGTCCCAGCGGGATGGCTCTGTCATCTCCCGGACTGCTGTTTACGTATAGAGGAGATGGAGAGGAAAGGAGGAGGAGAAAAAGGAAGGAATGGAGGATTCCTCTCGAGGATTTTGTGGCACCAGGGTCTTGTCCCTGTCTGATAGAGAAGAGAAAATAATACCACTTTTATTTTTGAAAATTGATTTTAAATATAGCCTATTATTAATCACAGTGCAGCCCCAGAATGGACTGAATGAACAAGAGGGTTTAGTGGGATATTCTGAAAGGAGCGTTGCTGTTATCTGGTCCCTAAGAACTGAAAATCAAACAGAAAAGAAACAACCTGTCTCCCACTGCTTCTGCTCATGCTATCACTATCACTGGGACCTTGACAAGGACTCTTGACAGACAGACTAAAAGACAAGAAACTGTGTATGTGGGAGTAGGATAATGGAATCATGATAGAGGTTTGGCTGTAGAGAAGGCAACTCACTTGCATATTCACTCTTGTCGTCACCAAAACAGTAGAAGGGGAAGAAGTTGTCAAGCAATTTCATGTCACCTGCTATTCCCAGTCCTCCAGTGGGAAACCTTCTGTTTTGGTAATGCGTTGTGCTATGACACCTGGGTAGTTAGCAGCTAGTGATGGGTTGGGGAGGAAAAGTGGGGGGTATAGACAGTAACCAACAGGTGATTTAGAGAAGAGAACTATGTATGTTCTTGTGTCTGCTGGCTTTCATTTCTGCTCTCTCTGCCTTCCTCTCAAACTTACAAAAAAAACACCTCTCTGCAAACTATCAGCAACCATAGACACTCTTGAATTTACAAAATTTAAAAAGAACATTAGGTCCTTTTGTGCTGCACAAATACAAGAGCAGTTGAATTTAACAAAGTAAGTTTGCAGAGAGTTTGAACTTAAGTTCTTAAAGTATTCACATGCAAACTTTTGTACTGTGCCTGGAGGTAAGAGACGGTAAACAAGAGATGAGGGAATGAGGTGTAGCCAATCTGACAGGGTCAAGGGATGGAGAGAGGGATGCAGGAGGCGGGAGGACTAGAGAGGAGCACGTCTCTTCTTTTCTCTTCCTCCTCATCCCCGTCTCTTCAGAGTGCTCCTGACAGGAGGAGCTTGATTGGTAATGAGCCGTGAAGTCGCTCGCTTAGCCGGGACCAACAGATTGCCACCACTTATCGTTTATGACGTGGCAATTCCTCCCCCTCCTACCTCTGTCTCTCCATCACCCCTCCGTCTCTCCTTCTCTCTCTTCATCCCTCACTCCCAGCGTTTATGGGGAGTTTATGATTTATCCGGGGCAGTGTTGAGGTCAGGGCCACAGAGAGCAGGGGAGTATTTTACTGCTCCTGATGTGTCAAACGCCCCACTTACTCTATTCCAGTCCAGTCCAGCCCAGCCCGGCCTGCCCTGCCCTGCCAGGACTGACTAATCCACTGGTGGCCACATTCACTCCACCGCATGGACGCTTCTCCTCCCATACTTTAGTAAATGGCCGGATGTAACGGAACCCCACCATAGCATGGCCATATTAGGTTAGATAGATTTTCAATAACATCATCTAATATTTCTTTCCATTAGCGGATGTTGTTAAATGTAGTGGATTGATCGGGAGACATAAAAGGTTGGCGAAGCTATGGGAGTCATATTGACTAACAGGCAACAAGCAGTGAAACAGCCCTTTATGATGCAGCTTTAGCAGGGCTGATTGTCTCCTGACTGTTAATTTATCCTTCTAACGAGCCACTGGAGGCCTGCTCAGGCAAATATTACTCGTGGCTACTGTGCACTGCTGTCTTCAAGTCTCAGTGTGTGTGTATTTTCATGCGTCACTGTATCTATGTAGCCACTGGATGACTGTGATGGACAATCTTGGAGAGAAGCCCTAATTTAGCTCCTCTAATCATGCTTTTCCTGGCCTTCTAAAGAACTCCCCTTTGACCCAACGGGAATCTGGTGAGTGCGGCTCTCGATGACTGTACTGACCTCTTGTAGGGCCCAGCGAATATCTGGGTTGCAGTTCGCTGCAGGTCATGAGGTCAAATGCAGGGTGACCCATTGCCAAGGGCAAGGATGACTGTCTTTGCCTGCATTTCTTATCATAGCTGCTTTTAACCTTGAACTATAGATGTGAGAACACTCACATACAGTACAAGCATGTTTATAGGGTAAGACCGTCCTTGTTTGCCATAGTGAGGGCTTTTGACCTTCAGAGAGGCGGAGAGATGCAGGAGGCAGATGACAAAAATTGAGACAGCTTTCAGTGTAGTGAGCACCGTCTAGCATATTGTAAGCCAGTGTGTTCAATAGGATTATTGTCTAATGGCCTTAGCTTATACATAAATGGAACTCCTGTCAACCTGGGGTACAGTAAATTTACTGAACACAGCTGATTTGTCACAACCACTCAAAATAAAAATGTATTACTTATTTTTGCACTTGTGTGTGTCACCGCTACAAAGAGAAATATGAGTGTAATACTTGGTCTTTGGGGTAAAAATAGCGATAAAGGACAAAACTGTTGTATGTACATTTTGGTGTGAGGTATCTGTGTACTATATATATGTAAGCATCTTTATTTTTCTTGTGAAAATGTTGATATTTATGAAAATGTAAATATCAGATCGATGGAGCCAGTGTTGCCAGTGTTGTGGAAGTAAAGAGGAAGGCGTTCTAGGTAGGCTAAGCTTAAAGTTCAAATGTCTCAGAGGGCATTCAGAATGTAATTTTTAATCTAACGAATACCTCAGTGGTTCGGGTGTCACAACATACTGAACTGACTGAGCTGAGTTTACCTAAAGCCTAAGAGTCGATTTGTATTGGCTTGGAAAATTATATATCCTTTTTTTTTTATTCAAGTTAGCATTCCCTGCATTTCCACATAATAAGCACACAATATTTTTTTGCACAATTGGCTTCTTCTGCTCTTTGACAGGCACCCTGCACAATGCAAAAATACCCACAATACTCATAATTTATCAGGTAGACCGTAACCACACAAGGGTGTTGCGTCTGAGTCAGCTCTGTGTTTGTGTGTGTGTGTGTGTGTGTGTGTGTGTGTGTGTGTGTGTGTGTGTGTGTGTGTGTGTGTGTGTGTGTGTGTGTGTCTGTGTGTCTGTGTGTCTGTGTCTGTGTCTGTGTCGGTGTGTATTTACTTGATGCTCGGGGCTTTGGGACATCTCTCACTGCCATTGGGGCTGTAACCTGAGTAGCCACCCTTTGTCACCATGGAAAACTGGCAAACTGAAGATATTATTGTGCATTGCGAAAACACACTCACTCGCGCACACATACTGTACATATACATACGCAGAATGCAGAGAAACATTCGCCCACACACAAACACCCCTCAGTCACTCTCATTATGCTCACTCCCACAGCCAAACTGTGTAGAAGACACCTCATACCTGACAACTCTGCCATCTCCTGACATAAGCCCACACAAATGTGCTCGCATAGCTGCACACAAACACACACACACACACACACACACACACACACACACACACCCCTTACACACACGAAAACACTTCTTTTTCCTCTTCTTGCTCAGTGGCTCTGTCAGGACATATACCGTGTCCTGTTACTGTGGAAAGAGCCGCAGCATGATGTGTCCCCTGCTCCACTGCTTTCTATTCCCCAAATAGTCCAACCTGTTCCCGAATCAATGACCATGTAGAACAGAGACAAGTACACATTCGGGGACACACACCTTTCACCCAGTGTCAGAGAATCTGGCTTTTTAGGAAACAGTTTGTCCGTTCCGCTCATGTTGCACACGGGAAATATAGCTTTCATAAAAATGCCACTGTGCTGACCTCCTCCCCCTCCCAGATCCCTTCGAATGCTTTTAGAGAGTCACAACTTCCTACTCATCTCCAAAATGTTGTTTTTCGACTTCTCTCACTTCAGCCACCTCCACCACCGCCACCGCCTCCACAGACACGCACACACCGTTGCCACCCACCTAAGCGCCCAAGTAAGGCTTGTCAGACAAAATGCTTTTAGAGAAATCCACGATCCTGGCCCGGGTCTAGCACAAGGTTAGATAGTCGAAATACCCAATTTTTTTTTTTTTTTTCAGAAAGCCACATACTGTTGCTATTTCTTCGGCTCCAAACATCTGATGACTAATCAAAGCCTTAACATATCACATCTCACTCGCATAAAAAAAAGAGAGAAAACCTTCCTGTGTACATAGTATAAATATATAAATATGTAGCAGAGAAAAAGAATTACTAATTTATGGTGTCACGTTTGTGTATTTCTCAGTGACAGCAAGCATGAAGGATTTATTTTCTCCTATTAGAGTTTCTCCTCTTTACTGTTATTTTGCAGTGCTTTATAATTTATGTTTTCTGAGTGCTTTATTCTTGACTGCTGCGCTGTGATTGCTGCCAAAACTGGCAAATGTGCTTCTTCTATACAAATGAACTGTACACACAACATTCATGAAGAGTCTTACCCCAAAATGTGCTTTTTATTATTGACTGCTCTGTGTAATAGTTGTTTTTTCTTTTTGTATTTTTTAATTTGAAATTTATTTTGGTCTTTGGGAAAAAAAAACTGAATTAGAATTGTTGTCACCATTTTGTCGTGTCTTTCTATATTTTTTTCGTATTTGGTTGCTATTAAAGATTTCTTGATTTTTGAAATGTTCCAGTGTTGCGCGTGTGGTATCTGTTTCTCCTCTCCTTCCCTCTGTCTCTTTAACACTTGAGGTTGGCTGGGGTGACTGAGGGGCAAGATTGAATAGAAGTGCCAGTTATTGATTCTCACTGATTAGATTTATAGATTAATTGATCAGGATATGAAGTGGCCTGTCTGTCTCTTGTCACCCTTCCTTCACACTCCAGACACACCAACCCCTGTTTTGTTGGGGGGGGTTTTCACTCTCATTTCCTGGTCTGGCTGTTTGTCTCATTTCAGTTTTGATAAGTGTGTGTATGTCAACAGAGGTGTGATAACAGGCTTATGGGAAACTGAGAACAGGAATAGGAGATGCCATTTTGTGGATTACAATTGTCCTGTAGTCAAGCTCCACCTCCTCTCTGATTTGTATATGTGTCCTGGTTGGCTGATGTAAACTTGCTGCCTTGGTAACAGGTATGTAGGAGACTGCAGTAGTTGTATAAAGGGCATATTTTTCTATCAGGGTTTCCACCTAAGCATGCGAATACTGAAGAGTGATGATACAGAGCATGCTCTTATTTCAAGATGCATATATATATATATATATAAAAAATAATTATTTTCAGTGGAGCCCCAACACCTCTCAGGCAAATACTGTACACACCCAGAGAAAAGGATAGAGTTGAGGAATGTGGTGCTGTAGCTTCAGTGGTTTTCCTGGAGGGAGGCAGTTTGTGTTTTCAGTTGGGGAATGTGCAGGCCAAGCTGAAACTCAGTGAATGGAGCTTCTTTCAAAGGCTGCATTGTTTGAACTCTGACTAAATCAAACTGGTTTGGTCAAATTTTAACAGAAAGGCATGTAGAGGGTTGTCTGTGCGTGTGCAGGTTTATGTGTGTGAGTGAATGTGTGTGTTCATGCGTGTGTGTGCACCTGCCTTATTTGGTTTACATACAAGTACCCCCTCTGTGTCCCCTCCAAACGATACAATCAAGCTCTGCAGTTAACATCCCCGCAATGGTGACAGTTGGTTTATGGCGGTTATGGCAGTGTGTCCTCGATGTTTGCCTGGTGCTTTGATGCCGTCATGTATCTGTGTGTCATCCTGGCTCCTTGTCACAGTTCATTTTTGTTGCAGGCTTCTTCTGTCAATGCACAGCTATTTACTGTGAGTCCAGCCCACCATCTGGCCTCTCTAATTGCTTTGGATTTGAGGCTGGCGAGATAGAGAGCACTTACACACACACACACACACACACACACACACACACACACACAACACACACACAGACACACACACTCAGACGGACGGACACACAGACAGTCCTTTGGTTTTCTAGCTGAATGTAAAAGACTCGAGCACAGCAGAAAGGCTTTTAAACTGCAGATAGTAATAACAACTCATGCAACACTTGTAATTTTGTCAATGTGTGTCACAGAAAGCAGAACACACCTTTATCTGAAAGCGGTGACCCCGTAACGCAGAACCTGGCCTATTTGAGCTCCGAGCAAATAACCTGGATCTGAAGCCAAAGTGACAGCAGCTACGCCAAGCACTACCACTGTGTTCAACATTAGCTTACAGTGATGAGACATGGTGCCGTGCCCCTGGGCAATCCGGCTAGCTGGTTGTGGCCCTGTTTATACTCTGTGTGTGTGTGTGTGTGTGTGTGTGTGTGTGTGTGTGTGTGTGTGTGTGTGTGTGTGTGTGTGTGTGTGTGTGTGTGTGTGTGTGTGTGTGTGTGTGTGTGTGTGTGTGTGTGTGTGTGTGTGTGTGTGTGTGTGTGTGTGTGTGTCAGAGAGTAAGCATGTGAGTGTGTTCTTTGGTCATGCAGCGTGCTAAAGAAGTATGTTCATGTTTTTAGGCACCCGTTGAGTGCTTTGCTGGGTTGCAGACCAATCAGATTAATGCAGGATGTTTGTGTTTGAAAGTGTTTATGAACTTGAGTGTTATCAGATTGTTTGGTGTGTGTGTGTGTAGGTGTGTACGTGTGTACTGTTTCACACATGCATGTTTGTACATGGCTGTATATCTAACTTCCAGCTCTGGCAGCTACATCCGCAGTGTTGATTGAACATCGAGTGTGTGTGTGTGTGTGTGTGTGTGTGTGTGTGTGTGTGTGTGTGTGTGTGTGTGTGTGTGTGTGTGTGTGTGTGTGTGTGTGTGTGTGTGTGTGTGTGTGTGTGTGTGTGTGTGTGTGTGTGTGTGTGTGTGTGTGTGTGTGTGTGTGTGTGTGTGTGTGTGTGTGTGTGTGTGTGTGGATTAGCACACAGACCCACTTTGGGCTCTCTCTGCTGATAACTGCTAACACAATGCTCCTCATTTAACCTCTCACCCTCCGGCTCCAGACCTGACTAATAAATCCCGGAGTGAGTGATGAATGGCCAGGACTGTAGCTTGGATGTCTGAGTGATGGATGTGGTGACCTGAGTCTTCACAAGGATTAAAGCAAGAGTCTACCTCTGACCTCAATTATGAAAGTAGGTTCCTGAATATTTTTATTGGCTTTAAAGAGACCAGCTTTTTACTTTCTTGCCTGTGGTGAATAATCAAATCTCCAGCTGTGTGTGTCGTAGAGTTACTGGAATAATAATATAATTTTCATAGGTATGTTTTCATTAGTGTATAATCACCTAAAAATAAGAATAGTTGTGCTTTATTACCTTAGAATGAGCCGTTTTTATCTACAGAGGGAGCAGGTCCTCTTCTACAGAGACTGCCATTTTTCTACTGTAGCCCAGAACAGACAAACCAAAATCTGACTCTAGATAGGCCTTTTGTGTTTTTTGGAAGTTTTGCAGCCACCGTAGTTTCTCCTCCACGCTTGAAAGGCTGAGCTGTATTCAAATGGTTGCAACTTCCCTGCTATATGCCATTAAATCCAAATCCAAATCCAAAACAATAAAAGATGTTGTGGAGGAGCATGGGATCATGGGAGGTGTTGTCTTGGTTGTTTAAAAAAAACACACCTTTGCTGATAAAAATCTATCTGACATGACTCAAGCAGAAATCATGTTCACAGACGAGGTAATGTTCTGAAGTTTTAGTCACATATCCGACGCTATCCTGTGTTTCCCCCTCAAGCTATAGAGCAACTGGAGGCAAGTAGACAAGCAGCGTTACCTTGAATAAAATTATGCATTCCTGTGGGTTTGAACATTGTTGGAAACATTTGGGGTAATCTAAGTACATAACTCAACATAATATATATAACACAGGTCTGGTCGTTTTTAGACATCTTAATTGGAAATGTTACATATTATACCTTTTTAACTGGCTTATTTTCTATCTGACAGTGATATGTTTCTGCACTCAGCACATTGGATTTGACTCATAGCTCTTAGTGCATTACAGTCCTCCAGTTTGAGGACAGTGATCCTAAGCATGGAGACAAGGTAATTAAGGGGTTTTATGGCCAAACAGTGGAATGTTCTTCACTGGCCAAGTCAGTACATGTTTCTGTTTTGTTGAAGCCTAGGCTGAAGGGGAAGAGCCCCTGAGAAAAGCAAGACACATTGATGGGCTGCAGTACAGACTTGACAGTATATCACAAGGGAAGATAACAAGAGTTTGGTGATGTCAGTGCGTTTAGATTACTTTTGCAAAGTTTATGTCCATGTGGTGTCTTTCCCTATGTACTCTATAACAAGACTTTCGTCAGCAATGTCAAAAATGGCAATTACATTTTGTAAGGCGCCACAAGAGAACTTGAGTTCATCAGCCATTAACACATCTAAAAATCACAGTACCTTCCTACATTGTTCATCTGATGTGGATGTAAACACCGTCACACTGAGTCAGAACTTAAACCTCCTAGTCACCGTAGAAAGTCTAAACATGAACATTGTGTCACTGTCCTTATCAGGATACAGTCTAGTCTTGATACTTTCTGACTGTGCACCACTTTATTGCTTTCACTGTTATTGCTCACTTTCACACTCTGTTATTTTATTTAAATTAAATTTAAATCAATATTTTTTAAACAATCTGTTGTGTGGAGTTCTTAATTTCACACTGTCTGAGTCAGTTTGTGACAAATTGGGGCTTGTTGACATTGTGGGAGTCAGTATGTAACAGACCAATTTGGTTTCTGACTATGGCAGTTTGTGAAGGTGAAATTAGGTACTTTTCAGTGGCACAGAAAATAGTGCCATTGGTAATTCTGTTTGTTTTGTGGAAAGGAGATGATGTCTGCTCTAATCTAGTATCTTCTCTTAGCTTGGTAACTTTTATAGAGTTTTTTTTGGGTGGATGCTGGGAAGGCAGCAGCTTCAGGCAACAACCACTCATCCGCTGTTTACTCTGGAAACAGGCATTACCTCATTACAATGTTAAGATGTTAATGAAATGCAGATTAAAGTTTGTTCTTCCACAACTTAATATCAAACTAAAAATGCAGTGTGAATGAATGGTGAGCTGAGCTGATTGACAACACCAATTTGAACGAAAATGGCCTAAGGGGGTAACCCTACTGTTGAAATAATGAACACGTTTATTTTAAACAAGAGAGGGTGCTTTTAAAGTACCACACTGGCTAATATATGTATTTGAGCAAGAGTATTTTTGTCTTGTTGAGCAAGGTAAGAGCAGAGTGCAGAGGAAGTTAAATTTGTAAATAATCACAGGAAATTGGAAATTGTATCATTCCTCTTCCACAAGCGGTAAACAATAACATCTGATCTTCTGGCTTCTGGTCATTCAGTTTTGTTTCGATGTGGATCTGCTACACAAGAACACATCCAGGCAGACAGACGGGGGGAAGTGGATGCTCCCGTTTCCCCTGTAGGCCCAAGGGCATTTACTCTTCCTGTCCCGTGCTGACAGGGCTGGAGGTAACTGGGTGGTTGCAGTGCATTGTTGGGCGGATGAGGCACGTCTCCCCAGGGGTAGCACATGCTCGACCAAGGGCAGGGAGAGAGATAGTGTGGAGGGAGGGCAAAGAGGGCGTGATGGTGTGAGGAGAGGGAAGGGGGATGAGGGGTGAGATCTGGGGCCTTGTGTATTGGCAAAAGCTACAGAAAGCT